GCAGCCTAGGATGGCAGCATGGAGGAGGGGGCCCACTGGCTGGGGAGGGGCTTGGGGACCACAGTCTGTGGCCCTTCCATGAGGAGCCTCAATTGGTCCTTCAGGGCATCCCCTTTACTTGGCCTCTCCCAGGTGCCCTTGGACCTCAGTACCTCCCAAACCATCCATCCTCTGAGTCCCCACCTTGTTGGCTATCTTCCACCCAGGTCCCACCACTGCACCCGGCGATTGGAGGTAATTGTCTAATTGTGCATTTCCCACCCCGGACTGCGAGTTCTGTGAGGATGAACTTGCCTATCATAGTCATTTCTGTCTATGTGCTGTGTGTGTGCATGCATGTGTCCACGTGTATACATGTATGTGCATGTGTGTGTACATGTGCCCTGTCCTATGTTTATCTATGTGTTTGTACTCTGCTGTACGTATATATGCTGCTATATGTGTTTGCTGTGTGTGATATCAACCCAGATCCTCGGACTCTTGAATCGGTACAAATTGATAAAAGGCCAAACAAGAAATTCAGGCAAGGCTTTAAGGGGTTCGAGATGCAGCACAAGGAAGTAAGAACAGTAAAAGGTGCCCTTGCTGTCTCCCCAAGGGAGGGCGAGCTGCTCCCTTAAATGGGGTGGGTGGGGGAGATCCATGGATCAGGCCGGAGGGGTGGCTTGGGTGGTGCCATGTGCAGGGATCATGTGCAGTCCCCTGCTTTCGCTCCAGGCACCTCAGAAGTGGCAGTTAGGTTTTGCCCTTTCTGTATCTTACAATTCATAATTTGCCCCTACTGAGCATGCACTCAGTTATTTTTAGTCCCTTATAGTTTCTTTGTATTCTGTTGCTCGAAGAGCTGTTTGTCCAAATGCAGTAAAGGGTCCCAGGTCCCAGCCTGTCTCAAATGTTTGTACATAAGTATATGTGCTATTATATATATACGTACTGTGTGTGTATATGTGTGTATGACACGTGCTGTGTGTGCTACATGTGTGTTGTATTTGCACATGTATGTATATATGCTATTATATATGTATGTGTGTTCTCTCTGTATATAGGACTTTGTATCTGGCACATAGTATAAGTTTGATAAATATTATTTAAACTTTTTTTGAACCTAAAGGAAAGACTTCTGGTTGTAGCTGCAGGGCACCTGTGGAGGTTGGTGCCCGTATGACATGGTCCCACACTCCCACTGTGGATACAAAGAAACACGGGAGAAAACATAATCCCCTCCTGCCCACCAAATAGAATTCAGAGCTGAAAGATGAAAGAGGGAAAGGAAATCTCCAGATGCCCCAGTAAACTTGCAACTGGAACTGACATCGATGGCCCAGGGTGTATCATACAGGCTCTGGGGACCGGGGGTGTGGTGGGGCTAGGGCGAAGAAGGGGTAGGGGGCAGGGAGGTGGTCTCGGAACGACATAAGTGGGGGAGGGAGCCTGATCGGGGGACCTCCGAGAGGCCAGAATTCTGGGGGGACCTTGCTGCTTAAAGAAAGCAACGTTCACCCAAATGCCATTAGGATCCTCTCCCGGCCTGAGGCTGCGGGGTGGGAGGGGTGGCGGAAGAGTATTGAGTGGAACTGGACACCAACTGGAGTAACCAAAGCCCTGCATTTGTACCATTCAAATCTGAATTTACACCAAACCTCCAAGCCAAGAAATCCAACAAAAACCAGATCCTAGACCAGTGAAATCCTTTGAAAGTCCAACAGAGGCCAAAGCCAAACGTCTAGATAGCAACATAGATTCACAACCTCTTGGGGCTCCCAGAAGAAGTAATGTCATCCCTGCGGAAGACAACCCAAAATTGCAAAGCATGTGGGGAATGAATAGGGAGATTAGGAAACATTAATTTTAAAAATTGGTATCAGATCAAATAGACTTTAAAGCTAAAAAAGTACTAAGGATGAACAGAGCTACACCATAAAAGGGACAATTCAGCAGGATAATATAATCATCTCAGATTTGCATACACTTAACAAAATTTCAAAAATAGGTGAAGGAAAGAGAAAATGACAAAACTGGCATCATAATGGGTTAATACTTATATCAGACAAAAAATTAGTCAGGATACAGACCATTTAAAGAATGCAATTTGAAAAGCTTAATCAGATGAGTATAGAGGGGCTGGTACATGTGCCAAGCATGCACAAGGCCCTGGTTTCAATCCCCAGTATCTCCATTTAAAAGAATTTTGTTTTAAGACAAAAAAAAAGTATAGAAAGTAAATGAAAATTGGCCTCTACTATGCTACCAAGTGTGTCTCAACAAATACCCAAAAATTGACCACATTGTCTGACCGCAACACAGTATCAGTAATCAACAACCAAAAGACAGCCAAAGCACGCGTTGGGAAATAGACTTCTCAGTAATTGATGGATATTTAAAATATAAGCTGAAAATGTTTAAAATGGTTTTAAATGGTAAAATATTTAGACATAAACAACCATGAAGACACAACATACCAAAACTAATGAAACAGCTAAAGAAATACTTAATAGTATGTTTATGGGCCTAGACATCCGTTAGGAAAAGTAGAATGTTTGAAAATTAATTACCTAAGAATTCAACACAAGAAGCAGAAAAAAGAATCCCAAGGTAAATCCAAAGAAAGTAGAAGAAATAAAAGCAGAATCAAAGAAATGGGAAGCAAAGAAACTACAGAATTGATTTAAAAAAACAGTTGTCGAAAACAAACCTCTTGGTGGGTAGGAATAGCTCTGTGGTAGAGCACGTGCTCAGCCTGCATGAGGTCCCGGGTTCAATCCCCAGTCTCTGTATTGGACATAAATAAATAAACACATATTGTTTAAAAACAAATAAACAAACCACTGGTAAAATGATAAAGAAAAAGAAGGAACAAAGGTACAAATTTTAAACGGCAGACAGAGTTGAAGCTTTAAAAATAGTAAAAGAATACCATGTAGTGGATTATACCAAAAATGTGAAACCAGAAGCATGAACAATTTTCTAGAAAAATATTACTTACTGTAACTCAAGAAGAGATTGAAAACTAAATAGACCTAAAATATTAAATAAATTGGAGTTGTAATTTTTTTTCCAAAGCCATGCCTATCCACTAACACAAAAAAATTACCAGACCAGATGGTTTTACCGTCTGCCAAATCTTCAAAGAAAGATAATCCTTACATGATACAGGTTGTTCTAGAGGGTGGAGAAAAAAAAGGACAATCTCTCCAAGTCATTTTATGAAGCTAATAGAACCTTACAGCCTTGAAATTAAAAAAAAAACTGACAAGGATAGTACCAGAAGGGAAAATTGTGGGCAAATTTCTCTTAAGAACATGGATGAAAATTGTCTAAATAAAATCAGAGCACCAAGAGGAAAAAAAAAACAGGACACACTAGAAATGGTTTATCCTAAAAATATAAGGATGAATGAACACCATAAAATGTATCAATATGTAGTCAGCGCATAAGTAAGCTAAAGGAGAAAATTATTAAGTAAACTCAGAAAAAATATGATAAATTTCATCATTGACTTACGATAAAAAAAACTCTTAAAAAACTGAGAGGGGAACTTTCTCACCTTGATAAAAGATAACACCAAAAACTTAGAGCAAACATCATATTTAATGGAGAAAACTTAGACACATTATGTTTAAGATCAGGAGAAAGATAAGTGTGTCTGATTCCAGTCATTGCTCAGCATCATACTAGGTATTCTGGGCTATGCTATAAGATATGAAAAAGAAATTAGAGGTATGAGGACAGTAGCATAGAAAATCAAAGTATTCAACAGACAAAGTGACAGATATGATCAACTAAATGAGGTTATTTGCCTGATAAACGAAAGCTACAGAAATGACCACTGCCCTCTACACCGGCAATAATCAACGGGAAAATGTAACAGAGGCACTTCTGTCTGTGGCCATGAGGGAGTGACTGGTGCTGGCCCAGTCCGCTGGTTGTCAACAGCTAGAAAACCGGAGGAAACACAAGAAACAACTGTTTTCAGATACTGGACTAGAGGCACCCCAGGACTGTAATCCCAGACGAGAGCCCTCGCGTCACCCAGCTCTCTGCTCAGAGCTGCTCTCTGCACCGCGACACAGGAAGTGGGCAAAGCCAGGCGGAGCACAGTGGTCTCCTAGAGTTCAAGACAGGAGAGTCAGACCTCAGGGAGATTAAAGTGGCTAGAATTTGTAAGGTGGAGTACTAGAGAGAACGGAGCCCACTACCCGGAAAGATAACTCCAAACATACGCATGCGGGCTCGAGCCTTTGGCTGAAAACTAGGCTGGACACGTTAGGATGAAACTGGCAAAGAACATCCACCGAGCAGCTGTCAGCTCAGAGCCCTCAGGGGTGGGGGGCTCACACAAAGCCATGTTTACTTTAGAAACAACAACAGTGTGTTAACGTTGCAGGAACAGACAAACCAATGACACAGAACGGAGAAGGCAAAAACAGTCCCATGTGTAAACAGGAACAGCCTAGAACGTATTGTTGATTAAGAAAACAAAAACAAAACCAGCACGAATTCTAAATCACAACAGCATTTATAGAAATTAAAAACACTTATGCGGAACCATCTGTTGTGCAAGACAGGTAGATGTCCAAGGAGGTACGTTCACCAGGTCAGAAGAGATGTGAGTGAAGGCAGGGGGAGAGGCCAGAATGAAGGGGGAAACTGAAATAAACAATTTTGTCTGGTTTTCAGAGACCTGCTGATCATGGTAGGCCGTAAAGTCAGGGTGCAATTAAACTATTCTTCGCACCTGAGGTCCAGTTTTAAAAAAAATTAATTCACAAGATTTGAAGATTACAGCAGGCAAAAAAATGATACTGTCAATATATGTAGAAAAGCCTTTAAGTCAGTTATCTCTTCGTGATGGAAGGAATAATTAAAGTCAAAATAGAAGAGAACCTCTTAACCTGACAGAGAGCAACTATAACAACTTTGTGTCTGCAGTGGTGGGGCTGGCAGATTCGGGAGGGGTGGGAGCTGGGGGAGCGGGGAAAGGGTCAGGCCTCCAGGTCACTGTCTGTTGCCAAAAAAAAAAATTCAGGATTAGAGCCCTGGAAGGGGAAACCAAGGTGAGGGTCTCCCAGGAGTCCCCCAGGGGCCAAGCAACACAGAATCTCACATGGGCCCATCTTCCTTCCATAGGATGAACCAGACTCTGAACAGCAGCAAGACCCCAGCATCAAACTGGAGTGGCCCCCCGGGGGAAACACTGGGCGTGACCACCCGGGTGCTGAGCGCGCTGACCATACTCACCTGCGTGGTCGGCATCGCAGGCAATGGCATGGTGATCTGTCTGCTGAGCTTCCGCGAGCAAAGGGGCCCCTTCTGTGTCTACATCCTCCACCTGGCCGTGGCCGACCTCCTCTTCCTCCTCTGTTTGGCCTCCGAGCTCATCCTAGAAGCCAGCCTGGTGGCTAACACGGGTCATACAATCTACTCAGACCACACAGTCCACATGTTCCCCACGGTCCTCAAGGCCTTTGAGGTGCTGAGGAGAATGAACTTCTTGGCCTACACGGTGGGCCTGAGCCTGCTGACGGCCATCAGCATGGAGCGCTGCCTCTCAGTCCTCTTTCCCATCTGGTACAGGTGTCACCGGCCGCAGCACCTGTCGGCCATGGTGTGCGCCCTGCTCTGGGCGCTGGCCGTCCTGCTGAATGTGATCGAAGCGTTGTTCTGCAGAGAGTTCTGGAACCTGGACACACAGCAGTGCTTCACAGTGGACCTCATCTTCAGCCTCCTCATCCTGGCACTCTTCACACCCGTGATGGCCCTGTCCAGCTTCATCCTCTCCGTGCGGGTGCAGAGAAGCTTCCAGCGGCGCCGGCGGCAGCCCACACGGCTGTATGTGGCCATCCTGGCCTCCGTCCTGGTGTTCCTCACCTGTGCCCTGCCCCTGGGCATCTACTGGTGCCTCCTCTACTGGCTGGACCGGCACCTGTGGACAGACATTAAACTCAGCTACTCCATATTCTTCTCCTCGTCCGTGAGCAGCGGTGCCAACCCCATCATCTACTTCGTGGTGGGCCGTCGGAGGAGCCCGGGCCCGAGGGAGGCCCTGGGGACCGTGCTTCGCAGGGCGCTGCAGGAGGAGGCCGAGCTGGAGCCGGGGGACACGCCCTCCACCGGCACCAACCAGGAGGGGGTCTGAGAGCGGCGCGCCCACCCGGGAGCCGTGTGCCTGTCTGGCCGCTGGCGGGAGCCCGGAAGGCTTTGCATCTCACCCTGTCCGGGTCCCTTTCTTGCCTGCCAGGGCTCCCCCACAGAACACCGTGTCCCGGATCTCACAGTGCAGCTCCGCTGGGAAGATTAAATGTCATCTTTTTCTTTGCGGACGATCTTCTGGTTAGAAGGCAAATGTCAGCTTTCAGCCCTGGCCTGGTTGAAGCTAATTATCTCAACAGTGTCACCAGTGGGTGCCGCCCCTAAAAGCAGGTGTGCTCTGAGCACCCTCCTTTCCTGGCTCATCTGCTTTCCCATCTCAGCTCAGACCCCCAGATGTGTGTTCCCCAGGGAGGCATGTGGGTGGGGGGTCTTCATCAATCATTCCGGGCATCCCATGGGGCACCCTGCACCAGCACTGGCCTTGCATGCATAAGCACTTAATAAGCACGCATTTCCCTAATAAAAATAACTGACAGCTGTACAGTGCGTTTTAGCCGTGGAGCTCAGAGAGGTCAGTGTTTTGTCCAGCGTCACATAGCCTGTGAATAAAATTGCTAGGATTCAATCCTTATATTTTGGCCACAAAACCCATGCTCCCACAAACCTGGGCAGGGACAAAGTGGCCCGTCTGACGCAGATGGTTGGTGATGAGGGTCACCTCACCTCTTGAGGGTTAGTGGTTATCACGGGGCCCCTCAGCTGCATGTGGAAAGAGAGGAGCCCTAGAAATTGTTCACACAGTTACGTTTCAGTACAGTTCACTATATCCCACATCAGTTAGGACCACAGTCTCCCTCTACACCAACTTCTCCTCCATCACGCTCCACCTCAGGCCATGTGACGTTGGCTTGGCCACAGGTGTCCAGGGAGCTGGCTAAGGGAAGGTTGGGTCAGTGGCTCCTGCAGTGTGGACTCACCTGGCATCATGAAGGAAAATGCAGGCCCAGAGTCGTCTGGACATCAGATCACCAGAAGCAAGTGCGTCCTGGGCAGCGGAGAAGAAATCAGCTCTGAAATGTTCATAATCAGAAGACAGTCACTGGCCATGTACAGTTGTAAGAGGAAGATTCCCCTCTCACGGATGCCCGGTTGAAATAGTTCTCATCTGTGAGGAATATGCCTAACATTGCAGCGTGTGTGATCGTAAACCATGCTCTGCCTTGTTTACTATGGGAGACGTGCAAAAGTACAGTTTATCGCACATCCTGCTCTGCGGAATAGTCCTGGAGCCGGGCTGCAAACCGCCAAAATGTCTGTGTGAAGTTGCCAGCTTTATGCACGCCTGCCGTGGATGTACCAAATAAATCTAATCAGTGAGGGAAGACCGAGTTATCTTTCTATTTTCCCTGTAGAAAATATTACAAAAATGTGCCAGAACAAGAACTCGGGGTCACACGGTTGCAGGGGCGCCAAATCTAGCCCATCACACGCCCGCCATGTGGTCTGGTCGACTCGCGATCTCCCTAATTCTCCACATTCGCATCTTTGAAGGGGGACAATACCCGTGCCTGTCTCAGGGGTTTCCCGGGGGTTCAGTGAGATGACTGTGCCGTGTTTAGCTGTATGTGGCCCACAGCAGGGACTCAGTAAACAAGTTACAATTTTTACGCACCAGATCTTTTGGAGGACTGGGGAGGGGTGCCCCGAGCCTCCAGTCCTCATTCCTGGGACCCCACAATTTCCTACTGTTTCTCTTTGTAGGGCAACTTGGTTAATCCAGGAGTCCTCCGCCCCAGAGACCACAGGGGTCCCCTGAGCCTTCCTCCACAGGTCCTCACCACCCCAGAACACCGAAGGGCTGGCCAGGACCCACAGTGGCCAGGCTGCCTCTGCCCCACGATGCCAGGTCTAGACGAGAGGGAGCCAGGGCAGGAGAGCGTTCAGAAGTCATCCAAGCCCCCAGCAGCAGCCCGACATTAACTGAGATCTTGTCTGATGCCTGTTCTGATTTTAGGCCGGATCTCCAGTCTCGGTGTTGATTGTGCAAACTTTCCAATCTCTCTCCAGTTAATCCCCTTTTTCACTTAACTTGTCTACAACATGTTTTCCTTGCCTGCAGCCAAGGAACACTCACTCACACAGAACTCCTATCAGCAAGGCAACTGACTCAGGGCGTTGAGAACTGAGATCTGGCCGAGAGGTTGAGGCTGGTGAAGGGTGGACCCCAATGCTCCCCGCCGCGTGGGCTCCCCCGAAGGCCCTGGAGGAGGCCCGCCCTGCGTTCACCAGGACGTTCGTTCGTGGAATTTGCATGGTGACATGGTGAGGCTTTTTAACCAGGACTGGTTACCACGGCTGCCTCTCTACCCCCTCAAGTTCTCTTGTCACTCTCCCATTCATGTCAGTGGCATTGGAGTGGCCACGGACAGACCTCTGGGGGAGGCTGAGTCGGGGATATGCTCAGTTTGGGTTTAACACTATATATTTACCTAGTTCACAAGTCACTTCTATGTAACCATTGTTCCCCAATGGGATTAGTGGGTTTACTGGCGTCAGGACACGAAGGCACGGCCACCAGAAGTTGGCGGAGCCCTACGGTGCCCAGCACACGAACGGTCTGGGCAGTGGAGGAGACATGTTCAGCCAGAAGCCAGGCTATGGGAAAGTCTTCCGGTCACCCGAGTCACAGCATTTTAAGTGGAGAAGTCAGTTCCCAGAGATGCTGAGATGCAGCAGACAACCACCGTGCACGCTAGACCCCGTCGGAGAAAGAGCTGGTCCACACAGTTGCCGACTTCTGCAGTGTTTTCAGGGGTTACAGGTTTTCTCTCTTAGTTCATCTTGTAAATGAAATAGTGGAATGGAATGGAATGGAGTACACCGCCCCCAACTTTTCCTCTTAAGGAGCCGTGAATCGTGAGCGGGGAGGGTGTAGCCCAGCAGAAGAGCGTACACGGGATCCTAGGCTCCATCCCCAGCACCTCCCTTAAGTAAATAAAACATAAATCAACCTAATTACCTCCCACCAGCCCCACAATCAAAATTAAGGAAAAAAAAGAGTTATGCATAACAAGATGGCCTCCCATCACAAATCTGCTCGAGCCTCACGTCAAAGGTATGGTGACATTTTCAAGACTCTAAAATACATTTCTGAAGACTGGATGTGGCAGAAAAACACCAGTTGTAAACAACACAAAAAGGTTATTCACATTCAGAACGGAATTTTGGATCATTTCCCCCCAAACAGTCAGAAAAGATAAACTCTTGATTTAAATAGATATGAAAGGGAACTTCTGTTGTTATCTTTACTTTTGCTTATTTGTGAAAGAAGTAAGAGAAAGTTCAGATTAAAGTTACTGAACTAGGATTCATAGCAACACTATATACAATAGCCAAGACAAGGAAGTGTCCATCAACAGATGACTGGATAAAGGAGTTGTGGTATATTTATGCAATGGAACACTACTCAGCCATAAAAAAGAATAAAATAACACCATTTGCAGCAACATGGATGGAACTGGAGATCATCATTCTAAGTGAAGTGAGCCAGAAAGAGAAAGAAAAATACCATATGATATCACTCATACGTGGAATCTAAGAAAAAGAAAAGAAAAAAGAGGACACTAATGAACTCATCTACAGAACAGAAACAGACTCGCAGACATAGTAAGCAATCTTATGGTTACTGGGGGACAGGGAGTAGGAAGGGATAAATTTGAGAGTTTGAGATTTGCAAAGGTTAACCACTATATATAAAAATAGATTTAAAAATGAATTTGTATGAAAAATGTATAGCACAGGAAACTATGTCCAGTGTCTTATCATAACCTTTGATGAAAAAGAATGTGAAGGCGAATGTATGTATGTATGTGCATGACGGGGACATTGTGCTGTACACCAGAAATTGACATATTGCAACTGACTATACTTCAATCAATCAATCAGTCAAGTTAATGAACAGGAGATAGTTTGAAATTGAGAGCTGAATTGTAACCAAAAGTAATTCATTAAGAGGAAGAAATTATTTTAGAAGAGAAGAAATAAATAAACTATTGGATTTTGATTACCAAATCAGAATGTGTCTTATGAATACATTTGGGAAATATTTAAATTTCATGCTGATTTGACTTCATTGATGGCAGCTTAAAATCATGTCACCACTACAGCAAGGACATTGACAACAAAATAGTTCACAAGTGTCACCAATTCAAAAAATATTTCAGGTCCATCACCATATAAGAAAAGGAGATGCCCTGAAATCTTATCGCTTAGGTATAAAAAAACTTAAGAGATCTTCCCAGATTTGATAGCAATCCTAAAAATGTATGACATCACCCATAAAGCTAAGAAACATCTTTAAACTACTGATATCATAAAACAAATGTTGATCAGCTGTGCTGGAAAAAAAAAGGGATTGAATTATCTTTCACGTCTCTCTATGGAAAATACTCAAATCTGTTGAAATATGAGAAGACTATCAGAGTGTGCAGCCAAAAAAAGATAGGGAAAAAAAAAATATTGCAGATGTTTTTCTCTATTTTGTATTATTTTTGGTATTTGTTAGCTTTTAAAAATCTGTAATTTGCTGTGTGATTCTTTTTCCCATTCTAAATAAGTACTCGTATCTAACTTTGTACTTATAATTTTGTTTTTTTTTTAAAGAAGACCCCCCCATCTCGTTGATAAGCTTTAGGCCCCACAAACTTTGCCTTGAAAGGATGGTGGAAGAATTCTCAAATTCCAGATGATCAGCAGGACCCCTGGGTCAACTGAGGTCAGCCTGAGGGTGACCACAGGGCTATCGCCAAGGATACCCACCAAGAGGGGGAGGAGCCCAAGGACCACAGGGCTGTGGGCTGCTTCTGACAGCACTTAAGTCAACAGCATGACAACTCAAATCCCTAATTTCTTGTTTTGCAATCTGGACTGAAACTCAGGGACCTCCGAGGCCAGTGCTGAAAGAACATTTTTTTGTTAGTAGCCTGGGCTGAGATTGATTTGGAAAACCAACCAACCAACCAACCAAATGAACACACAACATGCTTCTGCCTTTTGCTGAATTAGAATATCTGTTGAATTCACAGCTTCTTGGGTCTGTTATTCATTCAGCAAGCATTTATGATCATTTACTGTGAGCCAAGTATTGCTCATTAGAGGCTGCACTTCTGTTCATGGAAAAAGAGATACTGAGAAGGTTCCAGAAGACACAGGGCAGATCCTGACCCTGAAAAGACAAACTTCATGGAACGACCCATAGACTTCTCTTGCCAGAAAGTTCCTCTCCTCCTTGTCTGAGGCCACCCCACCCTTCCTTGAGGAGCTGCTGCCTTCCCAAGGGAGCTCTGCTAAGGAAACTAATTCATAATCCCCTCTCCTTACCT